ATAGAAGAACACCAGCAACATAGGGAAAACATGGTATGATACGAGAAACTTTGCAAACAATGAATGAATGCTACCCCTGAAGGATTTCAAACTACTAAATATATAATATGTAGTATAGAAGAACACCAGCAACATAGGGAAAACATGGTATGATACGAGAAACTTTGCAAACAATGAATGAATGCTACCCCTGAAGGATTTCAAACTACTAAATACATCATATGTATAAGTTAAGTGAACGAGAGCCAGGTAGGGAACACGCAGACCTGCAAATCAGTGGAGTTTCAATTTGATTGATAGTTGCATGAACCATTCATGCAATCCATTGAATGTCTTCCAGAATTTGTGATGCATGATAGCTAACTCTTCAACAGGGTGCATTGCAATGGAGATGTATCAAAAGGATTTCCATATCCATGCTTGCACATCAATCCTGCTACTTGCTCAACCTTATACCATTGACCACAATTCAAGTAGGCTTTATACAATATCCAAAATGTCTTTTTTGTGCGGAGCAAGTTGCAATTCTCCATCTGAATAAGAACACTTTCCATTTCATCCAAGCGCTTTTGTTTTCCATACATGACCATTTTACAGTGAAATAGAGGCCGGATTATTCTCCACCGAGCATATGTTGCACGTTTTATAAAATCTGTCAGCTTATCAACAGCATTGCATCTGAAATAACTTGTGATAATAGCATGCATAATGCTTACAGTTGATACAATGGTTCTATGATTAAATGCCTCATTTATTGAGTTCTCCATCTCCTCTAGCCTATCTTCTTCAGCATAAAGCTTAATCAACAAAAAATTCAACCAAGGTCTATATTCCTTTTCTGGAATCAGCCTCATCAGTGCCTCAATCTTTTGAACTCTTTCTGGTATAGAACTCTTGCAATAGGCACAGATCATGGCCCTAATCAGTGTTGGTATCCTGGCATTAACATGGTCTTTTATCAATTCATACACCAGTTCCATCTGTTCCAGATTCCCAGAATGAGCATATCCTCGCAACATTAGCAGGTGGGTGTTAAGATCTGGCTTAACTGGGCCTGCATTCATCATTTGAAAAGTTTTTTCCATACTATCCCACATCCAAGCAGTCAAGTAACCACTAATTAAATTGTTGTATGTTGTCAAGTTTGGTGAAATACGTGAATCCTCCATCTCCTTGAATATTGCCTCCATTTTATCAACCAGCATCAAGCGGCCAAAGACTGATACAAGAATGTTATATGTTACAACTGAAGGTCTACACTTTACGTCCCTTTTCATCTCCCGAAACAATGATTCACATTTACCAGCAAAACCATTACGCATATATGTACTCATCAGTGCATTATACATGCTGGTCGTCTTAATGCACTTTTTTATAGCCTCATCAAATATCTCAACTGCAAGATCCACGTTCTTATCTGTACCCGCAATCATAATACCCTTGGCATACTCCGCTGCTGTCATAGGAGTATCGTTCTCAGCTTGCGTTCTTTTCCAATTAAAAATCTGCGTAAAAATTATTTACACAAATTCCACACTAAGAAAAGGAAAAAGAAGAAGAAGAAAAACAGCAATCCTTTTCCCAAGACAGCAGTGTAAAAAAAAATGTCTACACCAGCATGAGATTGGACCCATCATAGTAAACTAGCTTGCTTCAGTCATGCTGTTCATTTTGCTTTAAATGGATCGACAGAGGAGATAAAAGATAGCAAAAGCAAAGATAAATAACAGAAGAACGTTGAATGTCAAAATCGACAACAGCACAGATAGATAACAATTCCAAATCATACAAAAAACAAATTAGAAGTAAAATTCATTCAGAAATAACTAGATAAATAAATGGAAGCAAAAGGCAACACACCTTGAGGGCTACTTTAGGGGAAGAAAGAAGCAAGAGCTTCAAAAGCTCAAGAAAAGCGGATGAATTGGTTAACAAGGAGGGGTCGTCTTTTTTCGTCTCTTCCAAAATCTGAAAAACCATGTCAACATTTTGAAGCAGCTCGTCCCTCAAAGAAGAAATCTTGTTGACCGGATCCTCCCTCTTCTTGGATTTGAGGTCGTTATTATTGTTCCTCAGAGGAGAAATCTTGTTGGTCGGATCCTTCCTCTCCTTGGATTTGATGTTGTTATTATTGTTATTACTGCTACTATTATCATTAATAGTGAGCTTGTGTACGAAAAGTCCGATCACGTTGGAAATGAGGTGTTCCGCGGAGGCGGAGGCGGAGGCGGAGGGGGGTGAAGATTGGAAAAATCTGTAAAAAGGGTGCTTGGCGAGGATTGAAGAGGAAGGAGAAGTGGTGATGGTTCTGGGAGTCGGGGAAGGGGAAGGTCTTCGGAGGCAGATAAGCTCTGCGTCTGAGAATTTGAAAAATCTTCGCTTCATTTGGTTGGTTGATCTGAGAGAGGAGGTACGAGGGGTAGGATTTTTAGGAAGGTTTTACGAGACCAGACGCAGAGGTAGAGATATATTGGGAGGTGTTTGGCTACTTTGATTTATCAATTCAAAACTAGTAAATGGTATCTTAAATTAATAAATTTTGAGTATTATAAAAGATAAAAATAACTACAATAATTAAAAAATTGTCAGACCGATTTGAGGGTGTAACTTAATAAATAGTTTGGGTTATAAAATTGTTAAATTAATTAATGAGTTCTCAAGTCGACTAAATTACTAGTTAAGTTATTAAATTAGTTGAATTTAATAAAAATAAATATTAAAATTATTTTTAAATCAAGTTCAAAATTATAAATTTATTAAATAAATTTGGTATACTATATCAAATTTAATAATTATGTTGTTATCAATATACTAATTTTTTTAAGTGGCTTTGATGACCAAATATAAGTTTTAAAATTCTATAGAGTGGCCATATTTATATAATAGACTTAGAGCAATGCATATGGACAGAGGTAGAAAAAATAGAAGAGACAAGGTATAAAAAAAGATTGAGATAGAATTTTATTGGATAGTAATATATAAGATAAAGTAATTATTTTTGTATTTTATTGATTATGATAGATAAAAAAAAATAGAATATAAAAAAGTTTATTTTATATTTAATATGTATTGTTGTCACACTTATATATTTAAAAAATAATTCAATATTTATTTAGTTTATATTGAGTGTTGAAATTAATAATATAATAACTCTAATTATAAGATTAGGACTAACTTCCCAATTTAACTATGGACCTGAACCAGTCTAAATTTAAGAAAAAATAAAAGAAAGATTAAATTGACCTAGTCTAGTCAAAAACCAGCTCAACTTGGGATAAAACACAGGTTAGAATCCCATTAAATTTTTAAAAAAATATATTTTTTTGGTCAACCAAGTTGATCTTTCATACTCGTAACTTGAACCTTGTCTCAAGTTAACTCTTGATTTGGATTTTAAAATTATGATAATAATCATTTTTATTCATATGTTGACTCTAGTCAATCCGTTCTAACACTTTCTATCTATGACCAGTGTCTTATTCCAGTTAACCCTTAGTTGAATTTTAAAATTATGATAATAATAATTTTTTTATCTCTGCATTAATCCAGGTTAACCCTATTGATTCATGACTCAGGCTTTGCCTTGGGTTGACCCTCAAATCAAATTTTAAAACTATAATATTAACCACTTTTATTTTATGTCAATTTGAGTCAACCCGAATTGACTCTTCTGACATGTGATACAGGCCTTACCCTGTTCAGTCGACCCTCAAGTCGTATTTTAAAATTATAATAATAATTATCTTTGTTTTTATATTGATCTAGATCAATGATTATCTTCACTTGTGACCCAAGTCTTATCCTAGATAGACTTTGAAATTAGATTTTAAAATTATAATAATAATTACTTTTAGTATAAAGATAAAAATAATTATTATCATAATTTTTAAATTTAATTTTATTATATTTACCCTTGACTAGTGACCTGAGCTTTGCTCCGGATCGAACTTTCAATTAAATTTTAAAACTTTATCCTTATATATTTTAGTCGGATAATTTTGAAATTAAAAATTTTTTATAATGATATTTTAGAAATAAAAAAATAATAAATATTGTCTCTAAATACGTATTTGACAGCACAGAAATTTACCTCAAAATTGTTCAAAAAACAAATTTATTTTTATATCTTTATTTATCTTTTCAATCACATATATATTTCTATCTTTACTATTTTCATCTTTTTTATTTTCTTATTTCAAAATAGTAATCAAATACTACCTTGATAACAAAACTTAGTTTCTTGTCTTTCATTCTTTCTTGATTAAGTAACGTGGTAATTTGGGATAGATCAATGAATTTGATTTTTTTTTAATTAATATAAATATTTGAATTATTTTATATTTTCATTAATTCAACAAGCTCTAAAATTAATAATTATATAAACTTTGAATGACTCAAATTTAAATTAATAATCTCAAAAATAAACCTAAAAATTAACCAATTAACCTACACCCGTCTTGATTCCTTCCTTCTACTATGCTCGAATTGCATGAAATTAGCATAATGTTTTTAAGTGCAACAAAACCCGCAGCTGCAAAGTGCAAACATGGGGTTCGAACTAAAGATATCACATCTGCTTTCAGATTGAACTTCTTGAAATTACCACAAAATTTTTTCCAAGTGCCAAAACAAATGATCAATTTATGTAGAGAGATACGCTTCCTTTACATAATGGAGCTCACGCAGTTACATATCAGAGTACAACTCCATCAAGCAGGGGAGAAAGCTTTGCAAAAAGATCATGGCTGGCATTGACATTTTGGAGCTTATGGTGATATTAGACAAACAGCATTACAGAAATTTCTTTTACTTTCTTTTTCGTTTTTTTATTAGCAAGTAAACTAGACAGCGAAAAAACTCATCGCTTGAGCTAAAATTTGCTCGAGTTTATAAAGCAACTAAGTCTGCAATAGGCTACATGAAAGAAAAGGTTTCGCCTACATGACAAAGTAAAAAGGATACAAAACGATCCGGCTTCTAACGCAGCCAGAAATACAAAAATGCTATTGCTTCCATCAACTAACAGAACCCCAAAACTGAGAACTTCCGGTTCCCCTTACAATAGGAAGGACGGATGATACCAGAAATCAATAGGTGCCAGTAGGATCAGGCTAAAACACCAGTTTGTATGTTCAAAACATATCCTCATATTACACGCTGGAAAGTGTCAGAAGTTTTCTTGTAGTGACTCTTCGTTATCCCCAAGCACTTCAAATTATTGATGACTTCTTTTAAGCAACATTCGTTCAGAAAAGACGAACCAACTCAAGAGGAAAAGTTCAGAAATTTTGTAATGCATTTCAACACCAGAACATGCAAAACAAGGTAAACAGTACCTATGAAGGTGCAATGCGTAGATATCTCCTCTCATAAAGACCGATAATTTGGTCAGCTACAGCCCACATAATGGCTTGACCAGGAGGTATTCTCATAAGCCGAGGCAGCAGTCCCTTCCACAAGGCAAGAAGACCTTCCTCAGCATATATTGTTCTGATAGCGTGTACCATCCCTTTGTACTTCAATTCACCCCCTTCTCGGCTTTGAGCCATTAGCCTTGTTTTGACAACATCAAATGGGCCAGTGCAGACTGGACCCGCGGTTCCAGCAAGAAATCCAGATATCATAGACTGCCATGGTTGGAGAACTCTCCCATCACCTTCGTGTTTCTTCCACAAGAGTACATCGAAAGCATTTTTGGCTGTAAACATGGCTGCCTGGTTTGTCCCATTACGCATGACAGTTGGGGCAGCCCCTGCCCAGAGCCCAAGAACGCCTTCTTCACGGATGATCGTACGAGCACAATGTATGGGACCCTTGTACTTCAGAAGCTCAGGACTCAACCCTTTCTGCTGCTGCAGTCTAATTTTTACAACCTGCACCGATCAGAAATCAGATTAAATTCAAAGGCAATCACCTTTTTTCCCTGAAGAGCTTGTATAGATAGCTGCTACATCTGATGTAAAACATATTAAATTCAAACCTAAGCACCTTTTTTTCCCAGAAGAGTTTGTATAGATAGCTGATACATCAAAAATCAGATGTAGCAGCACCATACAAAAACAGAAATCCTTATGAATAAAAATCCAATTGCTCTAGCTAAGAGATCAATCTTGGCACAATGGCCAACCATAACACCACATATGCACCGAAATCATGAAAATTATATTTCTTTTTTTAATCCCAATTTCCATTCTAATCAGCATACTTTCTGAGAATACAAGATTCCTCTGACTGGGTTGCTACACAGACGAGGCATGTGATTGGTAGCACTTTAGCAGCTAATAAATTAACTCTATTAATGGCTGTCCAGTTCTTTTGTATCAAGGAACAGTGTGCACCTGGGGTAGTGATATTATTTGTAATTTCCTGGTTAGCAAGTTCCAAGTTGATCAGATGAAAAGTTACCTTGGGAAAAAAGCTTAGTGACCTCATTATATCAGACAAATGTAATTCCATGGAGCCACGGACTGTTCAATCAACTTTAGATTTTAACATTATTATCCAACTTAAGAGAAAAACATACTGATAGAAGCGAAATTTTAAAGGACAGGGAGATGAGGCTTGGACGAGGTGGGATAGGGCATCTAGGTACCACTGCACCAAACCTGAGAGTAAAGTCTCAAACTACAATTAATCATAGCTTGCTTCCCTTCACACATAAGAGGTCCAAACTCTTCAGGAATTAGTAAAACAAGCTAGCACCAAAAATAAGGGATGGGCAAAGCAGAACCTAGGTGGTTGGCCCTCAGTAAATGGATTTCCAAAACTGTTCTATGATAAGTTGCACTTTGTGAAATCTACAATCAACAAAAAATAAACTGCAACTCATTTTTTAAGAACAAAAAAGAAGCACCCCCGCAACAAATAACATGATCCTGCATGTGTAAATTAATCTTGATTCATCTACTTTCATCGTATACTAAGGCAAGATCCCATGTCAAAACACTCCACTTAACTAGATCAAGAGAAGGTCTATTTTTTTTCTTTAACCCCCATTATTACCCGCATCATGAAATATCCAACATAATTCCTCTTAACACTTCCACTTTCAAAAATCTCCTTGTTGCAGAACTTTAAAAAGAAAAGGCTAAAACACTCATATGGTTGCCCACTCAAATATAAAGACTCAAAAGTCCCCTTGAACCCACTCGGTAACATAAATACTAGACTATTAATAACCCCTCATCTCACAAGCCATACCCCATTGCCATTTCCCACTAAACTAATAAGAACAAGACTGGGAAAACCAAGTACTAGAAGCTGAAACATAAGTATCGAAACAAAATCATCCTCAGAAGCAAAATCTCTGAAGAAAAATCAGATTCAAGTACAAGGAACATTCCTTAAACATCAAATTTCACAGTTCTCACTTAAAAAAAAAATCGGCAAACAGTCATTCACTGACCTCAAAAGGAGTAACAATAGCAAGGGCCTCAAGAACTCCAGCACCAAACCCGGACATCAACCTCCCGTGATTACTCAACTTGCCAGTTTCCGAATCCTTAAACGCGGACTGAAACACCGCATTAGACCCCATACGAAGCGCATATTTCAAGGTCAGGTGAGTAGCAAACGGTGTCAGCCCTTTCCATAAAGCCCGGACCCCTTCCGTTCTCACAATCGTCGACCCACAATGGATTATTCCCTTGTAATTCCCACTCCTATCGAGCTGCAATCTCGTCTTGATCACATCAATTGGCTGCAAACAACTCGCCTCTACAGCCCCTCCTAAAGAGCCTGATATAGCTTTCATGTATGGAGGGATTGTTGGTTTCTTGTCATTTGATGATTCTTGGCTCATGGCTTTGAGTTTCGGGAACCAGAGGAGGAGGGGTTTCGCCTGTTGAGTTTCTTGGGGGGTTTTGTTTGCAGCCGATGGAGTAGAAGGCGTGGGCTTTCAAAATTCGAAGGATGATGTGGAAAACATGCCCGAAGAGTTTGGTAGCTTTTGTTGTCACTTTTCGACTGGGTTTCGACGTGGGTCAAAGGGGTTTATTTTTTGTCATGGAAAGTAATTAAGCTGTGATTTATTTATTTTAATTATACAGTAGTGTTATTTTTAAAAATATTTTTTAATTAAAATTCTTTTCATATAATATTTTTTAAATTTTTAGCATTTATTGTTTACATTATGTATCAAACAATATAAAAAAATAAACAAATAATTTAAAGTAAAAAAATAATTTTTTAAATTTTTTAAAATATAAAAACAAAATTGAATTGTTGCATGTATCAACTCAATTTTTAGCATGTTCAAATTAAATTGGATTGTTTTGGATTCTTTTTTATCTATATTATAAGCAGATCTGAGTTATTATATATGTTATTTTACTAACTTCAAAGAGCATGTTTAATAATTAACAAAACTTGACTGATAATTAGAACTTTGGAATATACAAGAGAAAATTTATTGATTTTTTAATGCAATAATATAATATAAATAATGCGTTTATAATATTGTTTTTTTAACTTAATCTAATTAATATATATTAATAAAAAGAATTATGATTGAAATCAATATAAATACACACACTAAACTCCACTCCAATCTATATACATGTAAAGACTCACTAATTTAAGAGGTTTTTTTATTTAAAAAACAAACTTAGAAATAGTATTATTTGATGTAACATTCACTTTAAATTAAAAAGTCACTATCACAATCTTAATATTATAAATGATTTTAAAAAATAACATATAAAAAT